GAGAGAGAGAGAGAGAGAGAGAGAGAGAGAGAGAGAGAGAGAGAGAGGACTACGATTTTATAATGAATGAAAGAGGGCTATAGTTTGAACATTGGAAACAATAGAGAAAGTGAATTGCACATCATATCAAACGCTCGTCGATGTGCGTAGACATACAGCAGTATTATACACATCAATTGAAGGTGATGAATTTCAAACGGAAACGCAGAGGCAAGAAGTGAAAAGAAACACAACACATTGTGAATAAATTATAAAGTTTTCCATGAGAGGAAAATACATATAATATCGTTTATCCCGAATGAAGAAGCTCAATTAATGTGTAATAATGGCAAGCGCATCAGAAACATGAAAAATGATTCATGATTTTCTCTCTCTCTTTCTCTCTCGCTCTGAAGCAACCGTCCAACAGCGACAGCAACAGCCAAATTATGCAAAATTATAAACTCATATTCATTTAGCTGATTGTGAACAAGAGTCACAAAATCATTTAAATTGCTCTTTTGCTTCTCTATCTTTCAACACACGCCAACTCCCTATGTTCTGTCGTTGAGCATTTAAATTTTAAATGTTTCCCCTGAACATTACGCATACGCGCGCGGCACACTACAAACGATTACACCAGTCATTTCATTCCAGTCTTTCTCTCTTACTATGTGTGTGTGCGTTTTTTTAAATTCTCATTCAGTTCTGAGAAGAGAATTTTCACTCCTTAAAACTCGACTTAATAAAAAAAAAATACATCGTTTGGCACTCGCGGCTCAACAAAGTCATTTAAAATATTATTAAACGATATGGTTGTATCTTTCGCGCTTCGCTCATACAACGGCATCGAGAGAAAAGGCAGGGAAAAAAATGCACGCGACTCTCTCGTATGGTTTCCTATTCACGCATTGATATTTCGTTTTGTTGTAACATCCTTTGCGCCGGACAATTCATTAGTTTTTCCATTGAGTTATTGAAACGACGCTTTTTTCCTCTAACTTCTCCTGTTGTTGGTTCAGTGCATATCGTAATCAATTTATGAACTTCGAATGAATTCGTATAATTTTCGGGTACCGCAGAATAAAAAGAGAGCTCGAGATGCGAAAACTATTATTAATGCTGATGGAATGAGCATGGGGATGGGCGCAGCAGAGGAAGACATTTGGCAAATGAACATAGGGAGAGAGCAACACAAAAAAACGGATTGTTAAAAAGTTGCTCATCGCCTGTGTAACCGAAAAATTTGAACGTGAGCAACGCAAACACGAAAAAAGAGAACTAGATACGAAATAGAAGATAGAAAAAAACACACAAAGAAAGATACGGGAGAAGAGAGGAAAAAAAATCCAACAAATCGTGTAAAATTATCAAATCGCTCTTATTCCTTGCTGTTGAATTTTCAGTTGGATTGTAGCGAGACAAACAGCTGCACATACTGTTATTGTCATGGTACACACGAGCAGCTACAGCAGCAACACACAAAATGC